TAACTCGTAAGTTTTTTTCCCGATTCTTCGGTATTCGGGTTTTGAAAAGCCTTGATTGTAACCGTGTTTTTTTTTTCGGGCAACGTCGTCGCAAACACACACACACACACAAAAGTCCATTGTTTTTTCTTTGGGCTGCTGTATCAAACTTTGATAATTTTCTATTGTATTTTTTTTAACAGCAACAAAAAAAACGAAGAAACAAAAAAAACAAAAAATCCTGGATCATTTTTTTTTTTTTTTTTGAAAAAAGGCCCTCGGTTTTTTCTGGTAGGACAACCAACCAAGCAAACACAAGCTTAAACCAGGAAAAAATCCAAAATATTATGAAGGAAATGAAAAAAAGGAAGCTGAAACATAAATGATGATGATACCTTACAATTAATATAATAATCATTTATTTGCATATATAATAATTATAATTATCATTCATTCATTCATTTTATTTTCCGATTCATTTCAATGGACAATGAATGAATGAATGAATGAATGAATTATGTGTTATGCGGAAATTCATTCATTCATTCATTTATTCGCATTTAACTAATAATAATACAGCTTATAAACGAAATGGCAAATGGCTAATTGTAGCTTTGCTATGAAAGAACAGAAAAGAATCGTCAAACAGAAGAGAATTGCCAAACAGAAGAATCTATAGAATATTTCTGTAGAGACAGATAACACGGAGGAAGAGAGAGAGAAGCAAGATAATTATAATTCTAAATGATATTCCATAATAATAATGATATCCAATTGGCAAAAAGAAAAAAAAAATGGAAAGTTTTCATCATCGATTGATGAATTGAATGAATGAATGAAAAATGAATGAATATTCGAAAGCAATCGAATTAATTGAAATGTATACTTCTTTTTTTTTTGTTTCTGAACCATATTTTGAAAATCTAATCATCATTATTAGTATGATCAGTATCGGAAGTAATAGAAGAATCGATTGTATTTTTTGAAACAATCGATACATGTCATTCACATTTCCAAAATTTGGATTTTTTCGGAAAAACAAAAACAAAAAAAAACTAGGTGGTATTTCGAATCATTTCATTTTCCCCAATATTTGATAAATGACAAATTTTCTCTGTTTCAATTTCTCTTAATGTTTTTTGGCAAAAAAAAAGAAAAGAAAAATTGGAACAAATATTTTTGTCATATTTATGGAATTGGTGGAAACAAACCAACATAAATATCAAATGATTCATTTGGGTTCCACCATCATCATAAATATAAATATAGAGAGAGAGAGAATAATTTCATTTTCTCTCTCTCTTTCTCTCTCTCTCTGATATTGCCTTAAGTCATCATAAGAAGAATATATACATGAAACTCACAAATATTTGACCAATTGTCAATTGGATATTTTTTGTCCATAAATTTCATTTCATTTCATGGGACATTATATGAAAAAAAATTGAACCCAAGATACCAGAAATTCAGGAACAAATAATGGATATATATTCCAGATAGATTCATAGATCCATAGATAGATAGGCAATTGAATGGTGTGGAGGGGAAAAGACAAATTTCATTTCGAAAGGAAATGATCGATTTGTCATTATGATTGTTAAACTGACTGAATATTTTGTCCCTTCATTCGTAGAAACAAACAAACAAACACACGTCAAGTGATCTTTATCATTGGAAAATTCAAAAACAAAACAAAAAAACATTCAGAAATAAAAACAAACAAACTTATAGACTTTATGACTTTTTTTTTGAAGTAAAATTTGAATTTATTTTCGAATTAATACAGAAGTGGATTCTAAAAACAAATCACATTGTTAATAATAATGATGATTAGATGACAGAACCAGAGAGAAAGTTTCTGGAAACACGCGTTCATCATCATCAACATCAACATTTCTCTGTATATTTCTGAATGTTTTTAACAACGTCATTATCATCATCCTCATCATCAACAACATCAATAGTATCCAATCAATTGCAATTTGATCCAATCACATCATCATCATCATGATTTATAATGAATGAATATCGTTCAAATTCACACGAATTCACTCATGATCGTGTGCAAAATATTAGTCTCTACCACGTGCACGAAGCAAGCAGCAGCACGTGTCAATATGATTTACAAATGAATGAATTTTGCTTGCTTGCTTCCTCTCTCTCTCCTGTTTTTTTCAGTTCTTTTTTGGTTGAAAAGAAAATCTGATCAAATAATGAATGTAGATGTGGATGAATGGCCTACCGAAAATGAATCGTGTTACAATCATCAATGGACAGCGTGAGAGATCAGGAGGTAGATTGAACAAATTTTTTTATTTTTCCATTTGAATCCTGAAGTAGTAATTGGTTACTACTAAACTAGATTTTCCTTTTTCTGTTGGTTCCTGAAACATACACACACAGCATGCCCAAACATTTTTGCTTCGTTTAACATTTTTTTTTGCTATTCAATCATTTTCAATTATTGTTATTATTGTCGAAATAGAAATTCCAGAATGAATGAAAAAAGAAATTCACAGCACGAGTACCATCATCATCATTCAATGATGATTATGATGATGATGATGAAGATCAAATGTAATCAGCCGCAATCGACCAAAAAATGTTTGAATGTTGTAACAAACATGACACAAACACGCAGACCAACCGACAAACAATGTGAAAAAAACTAATTGCCAATTGACCATCATTACCTAAAAATTTTTTTTTTTGACTGAATAATTTACAAATCTCGATAGAGAATGAAAGAGAAATGAATTTTACTGATCAGAAGGATGCAATCAATAAGTAATTGATATATGATTCATATTATGATAATGATTAGGTTCAATAATCATCATTATCATCCTAAGCATCATTATTATCATTATCATAATGTTACACCTGTATTTGATTGTTTCTAATTTCGTTTCTTCTTCTTGCCTGGCCAATAAATAGGTTTCATTTCTTAGGTGTAACAACAACAACAACAACAGCATTTAGCTTTACTATCCTATTTCCTTTATCTTCCTTCAACAAAAAACTTTAAACCCTTGTTTTAAAAAATCACTTAACGCAATTCATATTTGTAAAATTGAGTATTGATTAATTATGATAATCGTTTGTTGTTTGTTGTTTGTTGTTTGAAACATAATCTAATATTATTACATTAATCATCATAGGTAACATATGTGTGTGTTATGTTATGTGGGTGGTATATAAAACGATCATCAAAATAATGATTATCCATCCATTTAAAACTTGAATAATAATGATCCGTATTTATTAGGAAATTTATTAGGATTGAAAAAGTATGTGAGAAAAAACATCTAAACATTTCATATAACCATCTAAGATGTGTTTATATGTGAATGAATGGTGCAACTTTCAAAATGAAAAAAATCCGGCCAGAAACATCTGTATTTCAGGAATGTATTTTGATTCTTACAACAACAAAAAAACAGAGAATTTCGTTTTGTTTTGAATCATTAAATGGCTATAGAATGTTTTTCAGAGCAAAAATAAACATCACCTTAAAAACACATCATGAATCTTGTTCAACATTTTAAAATTTCATCGTGCTGAAATACTAGTCAATAATAACCAATTATGTGTTTAGATTTAGTTAACTTTCTACTGCGAAGTGTTATAAACAAATCTTGAATATATGTTTCCAACAAACAAACAAACAAGTTGATGAAAGACAACTCTTTCAAACAAATTTTTCAACAAAAAAAATCCAGAGTTTTCATCACCATCATCATCATCACACCATTTTTTTTTAACAATCATCTTTCATTGATTGATCGAAATATCAAAATGTTCAAATTTCTTTTTTGCTTTTCTGATTCCATGATGATGATAATTTGAAAAAATAACAGTTTTTTTTCTGTTTTTTGATAGCCTGTCTCTCTGTGTTTGAATCAATCATTCGATGATGATTACAATCATCGACGGAAATAATGATGAACTAAAAATGATTTTTTTTTGATGTTATTTTTTCTCCCATTCAATAAAGATTCTTTGAATTTGAATAAAACACCAGAACATCATTTACCACACACACACCGTACAAAGAAATTATTTGAAGTTTTGTAACAAACAAACTTTTGCCATTTGTTGTTGTTGTTTGCGGATTAAAATCTCTCGTTTTTGCCTCTCTTTTTAATCTAATATTCCATCTGATAATAAAAAGCGAAAAAACTCGAAACGAAAATTCGATTATTAATCCCACCAACCAACCAAGATGATGTATGAAAAACGTTTGTTTTCATTTTCCATAAACAAAACATTGGATGGAATGGAATGTGAATGGAATTGAGGAAAAACATTCTTGTTTTGTTTTTCTGGGGAAACTTTTTTTTTGCTGTTTATTATTATTAAAAGGCAGTATTAAAGTATTCGTTTTCGCCAAAAGAATCCAATATCATATCATATAATAGATAAATCCCTAGGATTTTGTTTTGACTGCCAACCAACCAGCCAACCATCGTTTGCCTGGTGTATCCAATTCAATATAAATCAATGCTTATCGGAATGTTTTTAGTTTAACGATAATAATGATAAACATGATAATAATAATAATGATGATTATGATACGTGATAACTATCCATTCAATGATGCTTAAAGTTTTTTTTGTTTTCAAAAAAAAACCTTTTATTTTTGTAATCAAAAGTTTTCAAACAGAAAAATTCAAATTCCAGCTCGAATGGCGCCATCTATTGGCGAGAAATTTGAAAAGAAAATTTGAAATTTCATTTTTGTTCATTTTCTAAGCAAAATTTATTCATTTATTTAACACAATTAACAAAAAAAGAAAAAAAAGAAATGAGAAATACAAATTGAGATAAAAATTTACAGAAAGAAGAATTTCGAAAACATTGTGACTGTACAATTTGATTGATTGGAAAGAATAATTATTTGTGTATTGATGACATAGATTCTAGTAGTAGCAAAAAAAAAATGAAATGTAATGTAAAATTCATTCAACAGAACAAAAAAAGTAAAAGTAAAAGTAAATATTACAAACACATAAAAGAATGAAAGAAGGAAAGAATTTCAAAAGTTGTTTTTTTTTTTGTTTTCAAGATAATTCTTGATAGGTAGATTCACTATCACAGATATCTATTATATTTTTTATATCATTATTAGCTCTATTTCGTGATAGATAAATATTTCCATTATGATGATTATGATCATTTTTGAATGGTGATTGTTTAGCCGTGGCCATCATACGGCTTTCATACGGTTGCTGTTGCGGTTGAGTATTATTATTCATCATAATCAATGGATTTTGTATTAAATGTTGACGATTTTTATTTGATTGATATGATTCAAATTGATTTTTTTGTTGTATTGTTTTTGGTGATTGTATTCTTGTTATTGAATCATTTGATGATGTTAATATAAATGATGATGATGATGTTGGTGGTGGTTTTGACTATATGAAATAATAAACGAGAAAAAAAGGGTTAACTTTTTAAATACAAAATTAACTTTAACTTAATTACCTTTTGATTATTATCATTTTTTATTTCATAATGATATTGTGGCTGCTGTTGTTGTTGTTGTTTATTAATTCTTGATAATGAACCATATTTAACTTGATTAGCCATTAATTTTGATGATGGTATTTGTGTTACATTATTAGTTAATGATGGTGATGGTTGCTGTTGTTGACCAATAATATTACCACCAATTGATGAACAATATGCAGCTGAATCAGCATAATGATAATGATTTACATTATCATTATTATCAATTGGATGATATTGTTGATGAAGATGATGACCATGATGGCTACCAATTAATGGTTCGGTTATATTGATATTTTTACCACTACCACCACCAGCACCAAGAATACCAATTTCATTGATAAATAAATTCTTTTTACCATAACGATTTTCAATAACATTTTGATTGTTATTATTTTGTAACATCAATGTATTACGATCTAATGTTGCTGTAAAATTTAATGGTTTCATATGATTATCATTTTTCGTATTCAATAATTGTGTACGCCATTGCATTGGTTGCTGATTACCATTATTAATCGTTTGATTATTCAATCGATATGGATTATTATTAGTATTGTTATTATTAACGTTATTATTATTGATTACAATACTTGAACTGGCATATGCAATTGGACCATCATCATCATTATTATTATTATTATTATTATTATTATTATTATTATTATTATTTGTTGTTGTTGTTGTTATAGATGGATATGGTTCATATGTTGTTGATTCATAATTATTTTCACNCATTATTATTATTATTGATTACAATACTTGAACTGGCATATGCAATTGGACCATCATCATCATTATTATTATTATTATTATTATTATTATTATTATTATTATTATTATTTGTTGTTGTTGTTGTTATAGATGGATATGGTTCATATGTTGTTGATTCATAATTATTTTCACCTTGTTGTGAAACATAATCATAATCAGCATAATCAGCAGCTTGATCATCAGTTGTAACTGTTGAATAACCATTATTATCCGTTGGTATTAATGTTGGTGATAATTTTATCATTGTTCCTGATGATTGTTGTTGTAGTTGTTGTTGTTTAATATCATTTTGTTGCCATCCTTTTGGAAAATCAAATGGTCTTGAACAGAATAAATGATCATTCTGTGTGGATTTTAATTCACGATTTAGCATTGAATTTTCATTATTCTTTTTCATAATTGCTGAACGTTTTTTAAATAATAAAAATCCTAATAATAATACAATTAAACTTAATATTATTAATGATATGATTAATACACAAATCCAAACATTTGATGAATCAAATATTCCTGTTTGATTATGTTCATTATAAATAATATCATTTGACATCATTAATGGATCCATTATAAATGTTAATGGTGCTGATGGTACACCAACACCAACACTTGTAAATGCTGTTATTTGTATAACATATTCAGTTTCGGATGTTAAATTTCTTAATAAATATGATGTTGTATTTGAATTAACAGTTAAATTTATATTATAACCAGTATAGGTACCATGTACAAATATTATATAACCCAAAAGGAGACCATTCATTTCTTGTAATGGTGGTGATTGCCATGTAATCAATGCTGAATCTGAACTTATTGGTCGAGCTTGAATCAATGTTGGTGATGCTGATGGTACACCTTCCAATGTACGAACAATACGGCTATTACTTGGACGGCCATCAATTGATTTGAAAAATGGTACAAGAAAAAATTCAAATGTTGTATATTTAGGTAGATTATTGATAATATATGATGATGCACCACCATTATAAACAGTATGCATTTGATATTTATTTTCAGAATAATTTTCCCTGTGATGATTATGATTATGATGATGATGATGATTGTAGTTGTTGTTATTATTGTGGTTATATTCTTGATTTGGATCAATTTTACGATAACGAATATAGAAACCTTCAATATAATCATGATTACCATTACTATGTATATTCCAGAATAATTTTACAGCCGATGAACTAATTGTTCGTACATCTTTCAGTTCGATAATTGTATTTTCTAATTTTTTTCGTATATCATTCATATCTAACATTTTTGTTGTAAGCATATTATGATGATTATTATTATTAACCATATCGACAGTAGTAGTAGATATTTGTATTGATCCTAATGTTCTTGCTTCATATGAAATTGGACTTGGTGGTCCAATACCATGATTATTTTCCGAACGTACAATAAAATAATAACGTGAACCACTTTTAAGACCGGTTATTGTAAAATGATCCGATTGAATTCCTTTAGCCGCTTTAATCCATTCATTATGATGATCTGGGCTAAAATATTCAATAATAATACCTTTGAATGGTGATGAACCATCACGACCACTACGTATCCATTGAATTGTTATTGAATTTTCTGTTACATTCAATATGTTTGGTCGACTTGGTGCATCCGGAAATGTTGCCGGATCAGGCATACGATGAAACATTGTATTTGTACTATGTGGTGATGCAACCAATAATTTTGCTGACCATGATGCTTCACCATTTTCTGAATAAGCAAGACATTTATATTCACCTGAATCGGATAATTGTAAATCTGTGAAAAAAAGAAAGGATTTAGATTTAGAAAATTTGAATTTGAAATAATTACCATCAATTTGTAATGTTCCTGAATCAAGTTGGCTAAAACGAGCAACATTATTAACCGGTAAAGGTGAATTATTAAAAAACCATTTTAATGTTGGTACTGGTTGACCAATTACATCACAAGGTAACATTGCTGTTGTATGTTCAGGTAATGTTTGATCAGCAGGCCCGAGTACAATAATCGGTGGTGGTAAATCAATCGATGAACTTATATTTAAATATGCTTTTGTCCGTGCTGAACTAACTACCGATAATGCTGAACAAACATAATAACCTTTATCTTCTTTTTTTACCGGTGATATGATTAACGATCCTTCTGGTGTAACCATAAAACGTTCATATTTATTATCCGGAAACATTAAAAATTGATTTCCTTCTTTGTTCCAAAATACGGATGGACGTGGATTTCCACTTGCAATACAATCAAATCTTGCCATTGAATTTATTGTTACACGAACATCATTTGGTTCAATTAAAAATGTTGGTTTTGCTTCATATTTTAATCAGAAAAAAAAACGATAAAAAACAAAACAAAATTAGAAAAAAAGATTATTTCAACAAAATGTCAATCAAATTTCTTTTCTGCTTTCAAACAACCCAAAAACTAATCTTTTTCATTTAATCATTTTTCATTTCCATTAATTTTGAAATGAAAAATTCAAAATTATCATCCTTATCCTGATCATCATTTGAATGGCGTGCATATAGTCAATCTATTTTTATCTGTTGAAAAAATTCAGTTTTGGAAAAGAATGAAAACGAAAAAAAAAATTTGCAAAAATCAAAGAACGACACACACACCTTAGATAACAGTAATTTTTCTTTTACAAAAAAAAAGATAACCAAAAAAATATATAAATCTTATCAGAACCGAAAAAAAATGTCAAACTGAAAATTGCCTGGTACCATCATCATCATCATGATGATTAACTCTTATCTGGTTCCATTCATACACCGAGAGAGATTATATAACAAAAAAAGAAAAAAAGGATACTTACAATGTACGATTAATGTTGCCGAATGTGATATACGATCGACAAGATTTTCAGCTTGACAAATATAAAGCTATATAAAGGGAGTCAAAACAAAAAAAAAAGAAGAAAAGAAAAGAAACGAGAATGAATATCATGCAAATTTTTTTTCGGTTTTTTGTTTGAAAATAGACATTTCATATTGATCGTATACATACGCCTTCATCTTCTTCGGTAACATTAACGATTCTCAATGAATTATTTTCGTTTATCGAAGCTCTATTATTTTAGCAAAAAAAAAACAAAAAAATATGATTAATTGCAATGTTGCGGAAGCAAAAAAAAGCTCCAACGAAAAAAATACCTTTGTGATGATATTTGACCGCCTTCACGACGCCAACTAACATTCGGTATTGGATCACCACCAACTTTACAATGAATTTCGGCAATTTCATTTGCTAATGCTGTTATATCTTCAGGTTTTATTATAAAATGTGGTTTTACTAAAAATAATTTAAAAAGGTAACGCAATAGGAAAAAATTACAAATTGAAGCAAAAACTTGTAAAAAAAACAAACCTCGAACATTAAGTTGTGCTGGTAATGATTCTCTTTGACCGGCCATATTCTGTGCCAAACATTGATAACTACCATTATCTTCTGGTTGTACATTATTTATTTGAAGATTTGTACCGGATAAACGATAACGACCACCATTATTATTATTATTGTTAATTGATAACAATTGATCATCTTTACGCCAACGTATTGTTGGTTCAGGATAACCACGTGGTGGTGAACATTCCATTATAGCCATTTCACCAACATTTGCAAATACATTTTTTGGTAATATACGAAAATCATCTCGTATGGCTAGAATGACGTTAAAAAAACAAAACAACAACAACAACAACAGATAATTAATTAACAAATTTTTGTTTCTCAAGAGTTTATCAACAATGTAATTTGATCACAGTGTTTGCCAAAAAGAGATTTTTTTTTTGCTTAAATTGGCTTAAATTTCAAACACATCATCACATCATCATCATTACATAGGCACACTTTTTTTAACACTTTTGTTTCCACATAAAAATTAATAGCCAAACTCATCATCATCATCATCGTGTTGATGTTTATGGAATTCATTAACGCCTTAAGGAAAAGACAGGGAAAAATTTTTTTCGCCCAAGTTCTTCATTCGTTCAAAGAATCAAAATAAGATCATCAACAACAACGCCAAAAACAGAAAAGCAAAAACAGAAAAATGATGGCCAATATGTTTTCTTTAGTTTCTTCAAACGAAGAAAAAACTAAATTACACTCTTGAGATGTTCAAGCAGAATCAACGAAAAGAAAGAAAGGAAAAAAATCGATTATTTATCGTATTTGTAAATATATACGGGAACAGCAAGAAAAAAGTAAAACGAATCAATCCTGTCGCCCAAATGATAATGTTATACTTTTGTTGTTGTTGTTTACTTCGTTCATTCATTTATTTATTTATTTTCGTTATTATTATATAAACTTGGCGGCCGAATCCATTTTGTAAAGCAAAAAAAGCAAAAAAACAAAAAACGTAAAACAAAAATGAAACGAAAACGAAAAAAAAAGTTTGTCGCTTCCCTCTTTCTTAACATTAAAGATGTTATTTTTTTGTTTTTTTGGGAATTCTAAATGGCATCTTTCGTTTTCGGTTTTTTCTCTTAGTTTTGTGATACAGCTAATAATAATGATAATAATAACCGTATACCGATCGACCGACATTGTTTGATGATACTGTGCTCGGGTAGTGTAGTTTATTCACAACTTTCTTTTTCTCCAGTTTTTTGTTGTTGTTTTTTTAAATTCAATGTTTTTCCATTTCGATTTTTTATTAGTTCATTCGATTCTTTCGTCGTAAAAAGATAAATAACGTTATTTTTTTTGTTGGAGGGAAATTTTCCATCAATTTGCATCAATCATCAATGATCAAATTTCTTTACGAAAACTTTTCCAAATATATTAAAAAAAATATAAGGCGGATAATAAACTAAACTATGATTATCATTAAACATACAAAACAAAAAAAAGTTGAATGAAATGTTTTTTTCTTCTTCATACCAAATTTGTAAATATACACGCACACTTTATTTGTGAAAAACTCTAATTGTTCGCCATCATAAACATTATCGTTTTCAAGAAAACTTTGAAAAAAAACTGGATCATCATAAAATCGTTTTGTGTTCTTTGCAAAACAAAATGAAATTCAAGTTTTCCTTCCTTTACCTGCCCGACGATGATGATGATGATGATGATGATCGTTATATGAAACACTGAAAAGGTGCGTTAATAATGTTAATAATGATGATCATCATCATATACAATCGGTGAACATCCCCGACAAAAGAATCTGTAGGCAAGCTATATTCGTGTTATAATTATACAGTGTTTATTTGACTGACTTCAATGCAGGATGATGATAATATTCAGTGTGGGGTGACTAATATAGAGAAACTTTCGGAGAAATTTGTTTTCGTTAAAAGATGAATAACATCGTCATCAATTTTGATGTCGATTATATAATGTTTTGAATCTCAATCTCAATGATGACGATGATCCATTAGAATGATTAAAACAACAAACAAAAAACAAAAACAAAACAGACAAAAAAAACTTGGTTGAAAAAAGGAATCCTATCATTATGAATGAACGGGGTGAACGAAAATAAGCTAAACATTATTCTATCCATTTCGTCCGCTTGAATAGCCATTTATCATAATCATTAATAATAACAACAACAACAAAAACAGCAGAAGACAAATTCTAGACAAATTACAAGTTTATTTAGTTTAGTTTTTAGTTTAATAAACACTAGTTGTTTGAAGAATGTTTTGTTGATAAATGTTCTTCGGCACATAGATAGCCTATACCGACATATATGATGCAATCGATATGAAATTGAATTTTTGTAACAAACAACGAAAAAACAAAGTTTTTATTATTACAATCAAACATTGTAATAAAGTGAAATTATAATGAAAAAAAGGAATAATTAACCTTCAATAATATGATCATTTTTATCATTATAATCATCATCATCATTATAATGTAATCATCATCAACATTAATGAAATGAAATGAGAGAATGGTTTGGAAAACAAACGAGAAAAATTGATTCTTTCTTTCTTTCTTTTTGAATGAAGAAAGTAGAAAACAAAACTTTGTGATATAATAATGCAAAGAGGATGCTGAATTGAAGAAAAAAAAATACAAATTGAAACTGAAATTGAACAAAAACATTTCTTTCTTTCTTTCTTCTTTCTGTAAAGATTCATTTCATTTTGGATGTAACCAAGTAAGCAAGTAAAATCATCATAATCATCATCATTAATGGACACAACAAGATAATGATTTGGATGATGAAAAAAAGAAATTATGTTTTGTCTTGTTTGGTTTGTGAAGCAAAAGAAGAAGAAAATTTACCTGGCCATTATTACAAACATTATCAGCATATTTTTCTTCCTTTCTTTCCTTCCTTACTTGATTTATTCAGTCATAATCGATAAACAATGCAAAAAAATGTATCTTTCTGTCTCCATATTCTGATTGAAATATAATCCAGTTCAACAAACGACAACAACAACAAACAACTAAAGAATTACATGCATCGTTAAACATTGTAATCTTGTAAACTAAACTGCCGGTAACTTCCTTTTTTCTTCTTCTTCTTATCATATCGTTATCTTAGCATTTTGTTGTTGTTGTTGTTGGGTCCATCATCATTATAATAAAGCTCATTGAACAACAACAACAACATGTCATTAGGAGATTTCGACAAATAGAAAAGACAAGATTTTTTGTCCTTTTGTCTTTTCTTCTTCGTTGGATTTTATGTTCATTTGTGTCCAAATCATCATTTGTAGCCCGAAAAAAAACAAAGATCATATCACAAAGAAACTTAGCAAAGAAGAAAAAAAGATAATTCTTAGTCGAAAAAACGACAAAAAGACAAAAATTCGCATAGTAAAAATGATAAAAAACAAATCTATTTTTGGCCAGAAAAAGCAGGCAATCTTTCAAGACTAAAACAATTTGCAATGATGAATTTGAATGAATTTTTTTAATTAAAGTTTTGTTTTGTTTTTGAAATGAATTGAATTGAATTTGAAAAAAACTTACTTGCAATTTCAATAGTAGCATTATGGCTACGTGCTTTACCATTAATATTACGTGCTAAACAATAATAAACACCAGTATCTTTTTCTTTACGATAATTCATTACTTTTAATATGAATAGATCACCATTATTTAAATAGATATGATTTGGTGATTTTTTTACCAATTCATTATCTCGATACCTATGAAAAAAACGAAAAAAACGAAAAGATAAAATTTTTTAATTAATTTTTGATTCAAAACTAAGAAAAAAAAATTACATACCAATCGATAACCGGTTCTGGATCACCATCAGCTTTACAAGATAATGTAACCGGTTCATGTTTTTTAACAACCAAACTATTTGGATGTTCTTTGATTCTTGGTGGTCTTGGTATATTACCACCATGACTATGATGATGATGATTATTATGATGATTAGGATTATCTAATTTAAAAAAAGTAAAAGAAAGATAAAAAATCAATTTAAAAATTCAACAACAGCAACCATGAATGACGTATCAATTTTCGAAAAAACATGAAGAAAAACCAGAAAAAATTTTCAATTAAACATTCATGTCATGCAATGAATGAATGAATATCCAGCCACACACACACACACACCACATAATCATTATTATTATTTTTTTGATAATTATAATTACCAGAATCATCTTTTCTGAACAGCTTAATGTTTTTGTTTCTATATTGCATTTCATTTCAATTTTCTCTTTCGCTTTCTCTATGATCATAGAATGTGATGATGATGACAATCATCATCGGTCATTATTAATTAACTGGACAACAACAAAAAAAGCAAGCCATTCTTCTTCTTCTTTTTTCGCTGAAAACCATAGGTCATCTTCGTCATTTCATTCAGAATCCATAAAGAATTTTCATCATTAAAACAATGACGACGAAGAAAAAACAAAAGAAAAAAATCATTTTTGAAAAGCAGAAAAAAAATTTAAAATTCATAAAAGAATGTCATTAAAATGTCAACTGTGTGTGTGCGTGGGTGGTTGGTTGGTTGGTGGGGTGGTGGGGAAAAATTCGTTAAAGAATTCTTCGTCGTTGATGACGACGATGAAAACAGGACAAAAGAAAGAAGAATAAAAAAATAAAAAAACAATAGCCATTCATAAATGACAGTTTTGGGAATTACAAAAATGACCAACATGATCCTGATGATGATGGAGATATGAATAGACATTCAAAAAAAAAATGAACCAAACAACAGAAAAAAACGCTAATTATAATAATTATCATATCGTTGTTGTTGTTGTTGTTGCCCGTTTGCAGTGGCCAATCATTCATTAATCGTAAATGTCGGTAGTATATTCGCCGTGTGCTTGTGTAAATGATTTTCAATGAAATTCAATTCTTCACCGCCAGACAATAAAAAAGCCAGAAATATTAACCAGAAAATGACTGGAAAATGACCGAAAGAAACATTCGGAAAAAATCTACCTTTTTGGGATGGATTTTCTGGTTCGTTTTTCTGGTTTTTCATTAATCATTTTTCATCATCAAAAAATAAATCTTTTCAATAAATGACCAGCAATGAAACCAAAAAAAAAAAAAAAATCTGGTTATTATTACTTGCGGAAAGATCCATATATAATTATCCATTTGAGAATGAACATTATTCATTCATTTAAATTTAGAATTCAGAATCCAAGAATAGAATGACAAAATGACATGATTTCCTTTTTTTGTTTTTTGAAAAAATTGAAATGAATCGATCATGAATGAATCGAGAGAATCGACATAGAGTAAGAGAAAAAAAGATTGATGAACTGATTTTCTCGAAAAAGAAAATCTGTTTTCAATTTTCAAATTTGATTCATTGAATGATGATGATGATGATCTTTTCGGCGTGTGATCCAAAATCCATGATTATTTGCTATTCGTTTTTT